CCACCCGTCCGTTGCAGGGGATGCGATATTCCGGTTAATCCCGTACATCATTACAACATCGTGCCGTTGATGGTGGGCAGGCATCCCGGTGGTCATGAACACTGGACCTGGCATGACTTTCGAAGACCTCGAAAATATCAGGGTGCACAAAAAGACGCGTGCACCCACCTTGCCTGATTGAATTGGCGTGGACGGTTGCTGCCCTTGCCCGCGCAATGACACTGACACTGCTTGCCGTGTTAACCTCCATTAATCATGCATCTTAACGGCACAAGAAAAGCCACGCCTGTAGAGGACATGTTTGAAGGTTCAAAGACAGCGCGAACAGAAACACCCTGACACACACACACACACACACACACACACACACACACACACACACACACACACACACACACACACACACACACACACACACACACACACACACACACACACACACACACACACACACACACACACACACACACACACACACACACACAACACACACACAACACACCCACACCCACACCCACACCCACACCCACACCCACACCCACACCCACACCCACATATATATATATATATATATATATATATATATATATATATATATATATATATCAGTAGAGCCCAGCCTTGCCGCGTCACCAGGGGGAGTGCGCCGGCTGCTGTTCCAATCCCGCGTCACAGCGCCGCCAAGTGAGTGCGGCTGCCGGCGCGTCTCAGAAGCTGAGGGGCTGTTTTTGCGTCGCTGCCGTCGTGCGGCGCCGAGCCACAGTACGCCCGGCGGGCGCAGCGCTGGAAAAGCCGAAGCGCGCAAGCCCGGCCCGGCCGGACGTCCCCGGCGCACGGCTCAAGCCTGGGAGGTGTCGGCGACAGGGACGGCGGCTCGTCGTCCTCACTGCGTGCAGGGCGGTGGTGACGCGTCTCTCTCACTGTAATGCGATGGCCCGGTCCGGTGGCAGCGCGTGCAGCCGGTGGCTCGAATCTGGCGACAGACGCGCGGTGCGGGAAGTCGGCGGCGGGCGAACAGGCGGAGAGTCAAACACAAACATCGCACAAATATGCGCGTGGAAGACGCTGAAAAACCGGGGTGCAGCATTCCAGCCACACACCTTTGACAAAGAAGCCCGGATAAAAACGGACGATCCGGTCAAAAGACGGAGATGAATTTATAAGGAGAGTCGAGCCCGTGCTAACAGAAACATTCTCCGAGACCGGCGTACAGCGGGACGGGATTTTTCACGCAGGGGTGGCGCGGCTCGACTCGTTCCCGACATTACCAGCTCTCAGAGCCCGTCAGGGCCGGAGTCAAGACATCGGCACTGGTCGGCCGCCAGGAGCAAAATGAAAGAATGGTTTGCGCGCGGCGAAGCACCGCCGCTCTTGTATTGGATAGACACGGAGTTAAAATTGGCCTCAGAGGTGGGGGATTGGTGGCAATTCCAATTCCGCATTCTTGCAAAATTGGAATTCATCCCCTCGAAATTAGCCCTGATTTTTGGTCACCCTCTTGACTCTTTGGGCTCGGGAGAAGGGGTGCCCTCCGAGCTCTCCCGCTCATGGCTACGTCACATCCCTGGTAGCAGCATTGCCACATTATTTATTGGCAACACGATGCTGTGAGATCCAGGGGTGCGGGGCGATGGGGATGGAGGTCGTTGAGAACTCATAGCAGACGGAAGAACATCGCAAATTCGAATTGTTTTGACGTATCTGACAAATGGACTTCCCGTCAGGGGCATTCTACGGGGTTCTGCCTTCTCTTCTCCTAGCTGCTAATGCTTAATCAGGAAGTACTAGACGGTGGGAGGTCCCTCCCCCCCCCCCCCCTCCAGGATTACGCGGCGGCCGCTGGTGACTGATGGTTTCGGGTGTCAGGCCACGTGACAGCGCCTGGGAGGGCGGAGGGCTGCACTGGCGACAGTGGTGCGACGGACATCTGTCAGAACGAGGGTGATTCAGAGGGGCGGAAATACCAACGACGCCGAGGGCCAGAGGAGGGCGCCGGCGACAGGTGGGCGAGGTGGTACGTCATCCATCACTCTGAGGTCGCAGACTGCTGAGTGTGCTCGAGCCGCATTCAGTGGCACAGGATAACATAAACATCCGTCCGCGGTTGTTTATAGAAGGATTCGTTCCTTTTAGCGAACGAGACTTGGCAGTTGCCGTCGGTGATGGAGTGGTAACTTCAGGAAAGTTATAAAGCGCTGCGTGGTTGACTTCATTTCACGCTGTTTTATGGCAATGCAACTTCAAAAGAAGTGTCATTGTAAAGCGTACAAATGTTTAGTATTTCTCTCTATTTCCCGGAAACGTATAATATTTCTCGGCGAGCTGCACGTCTTTAAAGCGCCCTGGCCTATTCCTCACGAGGCATCAGTCGCCAGTACCGAATATCATTTTTATTTATATACGAGGTTTACCTACAGGTCAGGCAAATGCGTTACGAGATTCTGCCCGTTTCTTGCAGGTTAAACTTGCACCTTTGTGCAAGTTAAAGGGAGTGCTCCACATGTACAACGTTTTTTCAACTGAAGCGCCCCATTTTCAAGATAATTCTCTGATGTTTCACAGTTTGCATTTGTTAAGGCCTTACATCTGTTTCTGAACTAGGCGCACGCGAAATTGCGCAGACCCATACCATGCCCCTTAATATCAAGTAATCCAAAGATGCATAACGTCATAGAAATGTCACACGGACTTCCCTCAATGGACATATTGTGGTCAAGGTCAAAACACACGTGACCATTGGCTCATCCGTGCCTGGAGTGGGTCAGCACGGATACGGATCGTCGCCTCAAAGAACGGCGGTTGGCTTTCAACACGCCTGGTGCCATAACTGCAAGCTTTGAACACGAACTTTTTTGTCATGCATAATACAGGCATTTGGGCAATTCCACAACTTATGACGGAAAGAGGACTGGGAATGGAACAGTCTTGTAACCGAGAATGTAAATGCAAGCAAAAAAACATCCTATCACGGAAAAACATACAAAAACACCACGAGAAAGGCCCAAAATACGCGCTTATAACGAACATCGATTAGTTTCACACGCATCAATTAACAACCAACGTTGTGGCGAGTTGAAGCATAACAATTCAGTCAGCCTGTCCCCTACAGTGACAGCTCTGACATGGCCAGCCTGGCAGCGACTGTCTGGCGTTATTAAAACATATCATGACGCAATCAAACGATGACGTATTGATGAGCATGTTTACTAAAAAGTGCAATGGTGTTGTCTACAGGAGTTTTGTACTTCAAAGCGTATCAGTGAATCTTTTCCATCATACCTGATGCTTGCCTCAACATCTTCAACGAGGAATATTTCCGCTTTAGAGATGCCAGGCGAAGAGGATAATGGTGTTGAACATTCGCCCAAATACGCATGTATCATCGCGATCCTGCTGCTCATAGTGTCTGTGAAATGGATAGGAGGCTGGAACAATATACCATGGCGTTCAATACCTGCCGTAAGCCCCCCCCCCCCCCTTCCGGCGTCTGTGGAATCGCAGGATGGCCACTAGCGTCAGCCCGGCCGGCAGTTTATTTGAAATGCTTGGTGCACGCTGCATATACTGTGTAAATGCACATTTGCCCGTGCCAGACTTGACATTGCACGTGCATTAAAGCGGAGCGAGCGGCTTGTATGGTCTTGTAACTATATACGTGTGACACAAACAAACACTCCGCACATGTCGAGTGACGGCCCCGCGTCCAACGCTTTTTGCCATGCAGGCCGGATTGTATGCCACCCGCTGTCGGACTCGCTGCATCTGGCGTTAGCATACGTCGGGGTAGGGTGGACGAGGCGCGATGGGTACGCCCGAACGTGACAGTTTCGAACAACTTAACACGAGGCTTTGATCATGTGCTGTCACGTACACACACATACCCTTTCCTGCCTCGCACCACGGCAGCGCGGTTTGTTACGCAGCCAGTTTGACCGGCGGTAGGCGGGAAGACGCCTGGAGACTGCGACGCTCTCTCCTGGCACCGATGGGGGCCGGACGCGACGCATGCCGCGCACGCGCCGCCCACGCCACAATTACCATCGCGGCCGCGTATGCGTCGATAATGAAATGTGCCGGTGGGGCGGGCCGTCGGTGACGGATGACGTCAGGCGCCCGCCTGGGAAGGACGCACAGTCTGAGCTGGCGGCCCCCGCACGCCCGCCATTGAAGACGACCGTCCGCACGCTGGCGGCGGCCGCGCCGGCACCGGGTCTCGGCCGCCCCGGTGAAGCGCGTGACTGGGAACCCGGCGAACGGATCGCAGCTCACGCCGCGCCCAGGTCGTAAACGTCCGTCAAAGCGCACCTTACTGCTGTGGAAGAGGTCACTGAGCGCGTGGAGTAAGCCAGCCTGGTCGGGTGACGGCGCCCTCAAAACTCTTTCATACCGAGACGGTTCTGGCGGCGTCTGGGGTCGAGTTAGCGTGCTGAGGTCAATAAACATGTCCCAGACGGAGGCGAGGTTCTTGGCAAAAACCATCGCAATGAAAACCATCAGGGTCCTTTAAGCCTATAAAAATAACTTAAGTTGTTAATGTGTTCCATCAAGCCGCTACATGGCAAACCGTTTTTTCGACATGTTGAATGACAGGAGGCTAAAAACTGTTGTCAAAGGTTCACAAGTTTGCGTCATGCCAAAACTCAGACGTACAGCTATTTCATCGTTCCATTCAACCCACCGCTTTAGTAAAGAACTAGTGACAGGTTGTCACGCTTAAAAATATTGATATATTTACTCTTATTTGAATTTAATTTTGAAATAGGTACAGGCATAATAACGACGTAATTACCGTTTTATTCGACAGGTTTCGAAGTTCGCCATGCGAATGAGACAACGCTTCTGCAAAGTAACCTTCAACCTGTAAAACCTTGCTTTCGGCGTCCAGCCGGGCCTTCGAGGCGGCGCGGAAAAGGCGCGCACCGGGCGGGGGCGTGGCGCGCGCCAGCGGTGCCGCCGCCTCACGGTCGCGCCTGACTACGTGCCCTGTTCTGCCTTCACAGACCATCAGCTGTTCGAAGAGGCACTGAACAGCCTATCACGCATCAACATGAACCACTCGTGCAGCGTGCCGGCCGAGCAGCTGGTGCGCGTGAGCGAGGAGTTCCCCAGCTCGAGGCTGCAGTACCTGCCGACCAGCGTGCTGCTGCGCCGCTGCTCCGACCACAGCGGCTGCTGCTACGACCACCAGACGTGCGCGGCCCGGGCTGCCGTCAAGGTCCAGCGCACGGTCATGGTGAGGGCCGCGGCGACGGCGCGCATACGCTTGGGACGGCGTCCCTGCACGGCGCCTGGTCGAGCGGCGGGAGGGCCGCTTTTTTGGCGGTCTCGTGACAATGCTCTCGCGGGAGTTCTCTGTCCGATGACCTGCGTCTTGATCATTGCAAGGACGTTTGGGCATTGGCTTGCCATTGTGCTGGAAGGTCGGTCAGGTTGCTACAGGTCAGTAAGCCACACGAGCTACAGAGTGTGTGCAGGCGAGGTGCACAGGGTGTCAATTTTCCAGATGACGATGCGCTTTTCTAGAGATAGCGGCATACCCAGATTCAGTGAATAGTTAACAGTTGGCAATATATTATGAGATGCACAAGCCAATGCTAGTGTATCCCTCATCGATAATAAGGCAAGTGACCAACTCCAAAGTCGGTCTCACAATATATTATGGCAATATATTATGAGATGCACAGGCCAATGCTAGTTTATCCCTCATCGATAATAAGGCAAGTGACCAACTCCAAAATCGGTCTCACAATATATTATGACAATATATTATGAGATGCACAAGCCAATACTAGTTTATCCCTCATCGATAATAAGGCAGGTGACCAACTCCAAAATCGGTCTCACCCACCGTCTCGACCAATTTCATGTAGCGTTTAGGCCTCTTCTCTCTGACGTGTATGGTTCACCTATGCTCATTTTGCCATCAGGCTGATCTTGTGCATCATTGCAGCAGACCGGAAAAATCCAACAACTCTTCCTTCCTCCAGGTGCTGGACTACGTTTCTGGGCCCTTGTTTCTAAAATATCCGAAGAAGCTGACGTTCGCAGAGCACACCAGCTGTCACTGCGTGGACCGGACGGCATCCGCCTCCTGTCCCAGCACCTTCACACCGGCGCTCAACGACGACCGGTACCAGCGCTGCACGGCCGTCCCGAGCATGCAGCACCACACACGCTGGCTGCCGATCAGGCGTGGCGGGTTCGCAGACGGGGGCCGGCGTGTCGCACTTACCAGACAGGATAGGACAGGACAGGACAGGACAGGACAGGACAGGACAGGACAGGACAGGATAGGACAGGACAGGACAGGACAGGACAGGACAGGACAGGACAGGATACGACAATGACTGCTGACCACGCGAGCCGTACAACACTGACCACCGTCCACAGAGGACAGGCACACGGCAATGACTGCTGACCACCGTCCACAGAGGACAGGCACACGGCAATGACTGCTGACCACCGTCCACAGAGGACAGGCACACGGCAATGACTGCTGACCACCGTCCACAGAGACAGGCACACGGCAGTGACTGCTGACCACCGTCCACAGAGGACAGGCGCACGGCAGTGACTGCTGACCACCGTCCACAGAGGACAGGCACACGGCAGTGACTGCTGACCACCGTCCACAGAGGACAGGCACACGGCAGTGACTGCTGACCACCGTCCACAGAGGACAGGCACACGGCAGTGACTGCTGACTACCGTCCCGCAGAGGACAGGCACACGGCAGTGACTGCTGACCACGCGGGCCGCACAACAATGACCACCATCCACAGAGGACAGGCGCACGGCAATAAGTGCTGGCCAGACGGGCCGTGCAACACTAACCACCGTCCACAGAGGACAGGCACACGGCAATAAGTTCATGGCCAGACGGGCCGTGAAACACTGAATAGTGTTCAGTGCTTGGTTCAACGTCTCTGTTTAAGCAAGACAGATTTTCGTAGGGGAGCGGTTCCCCGAGGTCATGTTATCCCCGAATGTGTCACTCTGCAGCTGTGCTGGATGCCGACCACTGCTCCGAAACAAATAAGGCCAGGTGTCTGGCAGGTAGTGAACAGAGCCGCCGGTGACACAGTTATTGATATCGCTGAACACCTTACAAGTGTTGTAATCAAACATCATTCATATCGCATAACAACAACATAACAACATAACGTATTGATATTGCACAACAACAACGTAACGACAAAAGTGTATGCTGTTACACATAACTACAGATCACAACACATAAAAACGTAACCACATAACATAACTGCAAATTAACTGTTTACAATGTAACTGCATTACCGCTATGCACGTCATTATGGACCGGTCTCGCGTGCCCCGTCAAACAACGCGTGCGTTGTTCCTGTCACGTGGCTGAATATTGAGATGTCACGCGGCCAATTAGAGGTCATCTGTCGATACCGGTAAACAATTCCAACGGCTGATATGGCTTGGCACGCGCACTTTGTCGCACAAAAACATCAACACAAATGTACAACAAAAGTCTAACACCGGATTAGTGGCACTTTTACGAGTATTGCAGGCTTAATGATGTGGCGTGGCATATGGGTAAATCCTTTAACAAAATAACTACTTCTTAACAGTTAAGGCATCCGTCCTTTAAAAATTTGCCCGCACGGAAAAGAAAACTCCATGCTTGGATCTCATGATGGTGACCCACTCTTGCTTTTCAGGACGACGGGCGACCGACGGAGAACAGGCCAGTCGCGTCACAGCTCTCCAGCCAGTCAGATCCGGCGTCGCGAGTACGTGGCTCCTGAGCACAGCCGTAGCTTAGCGTGGTGCATACGTGGGCCGTCATGCCGCTGCTCAGTCCTTTGCAGATTATGCACACAGCACCGCTGGTTTTCGCGTCACTAATGGACGATTAATGCCTCTGTGTGAAAAGCCCGTGGAACCTTTGATAACATCGGAGACATCACGCATTGATTTAATGGAATGCTCGTGGCCGGGTATCACTGAACAGAACATTCTAAAGCGAGCCAGGTCACCTGAGGCTCAAAGCCGGCAAGACGCTGGCTGTATATGTGGGAGCTATGGGCGTGGGAATCACCGGTTGTCGTGCGGATTGTACCAAAGCCCATGCAACTGGAGCTAGGTTCCTGCTGATAATCTAAACAACGAACCAGCCCAATGCATGCGAAAGCTGTAACATAAGTGAAATGTCATACAAGTTTAGTAGTTATAGCTTGTTAATTTTGTATAAGATAGGTGAATTATTTTGACAAGGATTAGAAGTAACCATTTATAATGTATGCGCATATATATATATATATATATATATATATATATATATATGTTATATTCGGCTAATTTCTTAGACCAAGATCTATTCGGTTAATTTCTGCTTTGACACTCTTTGTTAAACACCTGGTATACATAACATGATCTGATCAGTAGAGGCTACGGTTATTTTCTTTTGCTGCGATATATACAGGCTACACACGCCGAATGCACAAATAGAAGAACTGCAGTCGCAATGGGAAGGGTAACAGAGATTGGGCACAACTGGTATTTATTTTAAGCTCAGCCTCTGACGAAAATTGTTGCGGTTTTCATTGGTGCTGACTGCCAAAACTGTGTGCATCGACATGTGTAATATTTTGGCGTGGTACATAGGCATGACGAGCGGCGGAGACATGTAATATTAATTGGAGGCTAACTTTTTGATGCCAAGCTTTTACACACATCACATTTTATGCATAATCGCGTTGCACCCCTCATTTCAAGCTCATAATGCACATGTGTAACAAAACATAAAGAGGTAACCAGTAAAATACAGTTAAGTTAAATGGAGGTGTAGCTGGCGAAACCAGCGGATTGATAGTTATGGCAAGTTTGCAGGCGCTATAAACAGGGCTGTAAATCGTCGCGGCCTCAGCATCACTAAATAACAAGACGCAGTTACTTGAATAAGTCATGAAAACCTGATCTGTTACCGCAAATCATTCATGCCCATGAATCATTTTTGAATTTACAAATCATTTGCGCTCAAAAGATGGTTAAGTGCTCGTGAAATGTAACGCACGCTATATATTCAACTAGATTAAACCACCTCCATATAATGACTAAAAACGTGTTATTCCCTAAGCAACATGTGTTTTGAATTTATTTTCGGTCACATACCTTGCTCACAGCTTCGAGATATGGAAGTACCGATCATGTTACACATGTTGCACTCTACCGCTTTTTCATACCTATGTATTGTTCTGAAATATTATATCTCTCGATGTACAGACTCCGATAGCCAGCAACAAAGCATGCCTATAGCAGTCTTGGCGTATTTGTACTTTTCGAATCTGTGAGCAAGGCACGTGACCGAAAATTCGTGCAAGATTTAGCTTACTGAACTACTAATATTTATATGATAATTGTAATGAAAGCATGTATTTGAATAATCCTTTACGTTAACAAAATGCCATTTTATAGCGTTTGTAACCATCTTCCGACGACGTAAGCAGAGCGGATCTAATAGTCAAGCATTGAAACTGGAGGCGATATCTACCCCTCCAACTACTCCCGCATCCTCTACTGGCGCACGAGAGTTTTGTGGCTGCTTTTGCATGTTTTTATATGGCTGCTCAAGTCCATTTGAAGTTAAACGTGCCTTTCTTTGAGTACGAAACGTTGCAAGATTTGTTTTACTCACTTGGCCCTCCCGAACGCACCGTAGATCCAATACCCAAGACTGATATATGCCAGAAGAGAATTCATTCTCTGGTAGTCATTGTGAGTCCTAGAGCGACAAAAACGGCCCAAACGGCTCAACAGATGTTGCATTGTAAGGGGATCGACTTAGCCCCGTCATGGAATTGAATTGAAAGACATTACGTGAAAATGGGGTCAACGCAGCATATATAAACTGCTACAAAAGATGCAGTTGGAGCACCCCGTCTTCTTTGCACATTAAGGGTAGCCGTTTTTACGTTTTTTTTTGCGCATTCCCGTGCAGGACTACCCTCTTTGTCGGTAGGGGTGGCCCAACCCATCTTGATTTACCCCCTCATTTTATGGAGAGAACATGGAACGGCGACATGGAAGTCCTAGGTCTACTAACAATGGTATCACGATTATCACTTGCACGAGGGTCGGATCAAGTTCTCTCTTACAGCTGATCTGTCAGGTGGTGACAAAGTTAAATAATGTCTTTGTTGAGCCAATCAGGCTTCGTATAGGTTTGAGAAGCAAACCTAGTTTAGGCCGAAGAATGTCACCTTTCGCTCCGGCGGATCACATTAGATCACATGAGGTCACATGGGGTCACCTTACAATCTGTTATAGCCTTGAATGTGGATGACTTTGCGCATAATTCGTTATGCACGACTGTGGCATGGATGTGCTATAGAAGGGTATCCATGTCATGATCAGCATTTATAATATATTTGCTTTTTGGGTGTTTGATTACCTACGTGAGAACCAGTTGAGTGCTTAGAATTGTCATGACCACCGTGTCTTCACAGCCTGTATCTATCGACTGCCCTTCTGTATTTGGTAAAACTCGCTGACCTGTCGTAAGCATCCAATTTACATTACGACTGCACCAAATTATTACACGATACATTGTAATGCTTAAAGTTAGCCATGAGTAAATACGCGCAAGTGTCATTAAGGATCAGAACATCTGAACTAGCATTCGCAGGCGGTGGAAATGAACAACGATGACAGAATGTGGCTCGCCCTCCCGCTCCAGGTGCCGCTGTCCGAGGGAATTCGTGTCCCGCCCGATGCCGGACGGCAGCTGCAAGTGTGACTGCATCGACGGCAACACGAAATGCATCAGAACCAAACGAGGCCAGACATACATCCGGGAAGAGCAGCATAGGTAAAACATCAGGAAATGGATCAGCGTATTTTGAAGGACTGTGATAATCCTTGCAGGGCCTGAAAAACCTAACTGCTTAACCAAAAATGTGCCAACGGCATGGTTCACGGGCTTCAAGCCAGCCCGCCACACATCTGCATGCTCTTGAGAGAAAAACAAAACTTTTTTAGGCCCGCAATACTGGAGATTCAAGGCTGCGAATGGGACGCAAGGTTTAAAAACCGAAAACGTATGGTCATTAAGTTGACCATTGTTACTCAGAATATTAGGTAGATGGCGTGCCACCAGAGACACATACCCAATATTCTTTGTCTTTGTAACACACAATATTTACAGAATATACACCGCGACATAAACCTATTCCGAATAGATAATTATTAAACGATTTTTTGCTCAGAATGCTCATAAATAAATAGATAATAAATCAAGTAATAATAAATCATAGCATAATTTCTGGTGACAATCAGTGTTCAAAACAAATAGACGAACGGATTAAAATGTGGCATGTTCGGCTGCGTTGTAAATTACTTATCGAACTAATCTGGATAACCAATGATAACATTGGGTCTGCCTACACTCACCATTGTTTCGGATCGCCGAAGACGAAGCCATATATATATATATATATATATATATATATATATATATATATATTTCTCATGTTGCATATGCATTGTATATACATATGCACACATGCATATGTGCAGTGTTGCATATGTATGTGCTTGTTGCCTTGGTGATTGTGCACGTGCTGTTGGTGTACATGCTGTCGTGGATGCTTTCGTTGCTGCACGCTGCATGCTCGTGCATGCCTTGGCGATAGTGCACGTGGTGTTAATGTTGCATGATGTATTGGCTCGCATGGTTTTTGCTGGTTGCATGCTTTCGTAGGTGCTTGCCATTGCTGCATGCTGCATGCTCTCATGCTATCTCCCAAGGCTGCATATTGTGTTTGGCCAGTTGCCGGTCAGTGAGTCCTTTGCATGTGCTTCAGAATGAGTATCTAATACGACTGCGTACTACTTCCGATAATCTACAGTTTGGCCGTCGGCAATATACATATATATATATATATATATATATATATATATATATATATATATACACATGCGTACAGCTAGGAGCTGGTCTGATGGTAGGGTTGTAAATGCAGCATATGTAAAAAGGAACTGGAAGTAGTAAGTAGTAAGAAGTCCAAGCAAGTTCATTGATTTTAAAAAGGAGGCCAGCATGTGTGGTTTGGAGGCAAGGTAACTACTACATGCATGTATTGATTTAGCAGGCAAACGATGAAATTTGCATGTTAGCACAATTATTTTGAGTCATAGTCAGACATAACCAACATCCCTCGCACCAGGAAGCATGGTTAGAAGATATAAAGTAATCATGTCAAAATGTCATGAGAATGCGCAACATGAGTGTTGGATCACGCCGTTGAAAACCGAACTGCTGCTGAGTGAAGAAATGTACTTTCACCAGTTGACAGTAACGTAACAGGCATGGTCGCGACTTTTATCAGGAATTGACCTGCACTACGAAATGAAAATGCCCTTAGAACAGAACGAGTGGCACTGCTGCCGAAGTGTTCATAAGGTTGCCTTCCTGTTTAAGGCGCTGTTATAGGTATGACTGGGCTAACATTTCCAAAAGTTTATTCCCAAAGTTTTTGACATACTTGGTGTGGTGAATGACCATTGACTTTCATTTTCGCTTTTTTAAATCATTCATTTATTTGGCCACCATGGTTGTGTCAATGAAATAACATGAAAACTTAGGCCCGGTGTGATTGTAAACTTAAGCCTTATCTTTGAATTTCCAGCCAAAAATATTGGGTTGTCCTTAACTAGCATTGTTTGGAGGGTATGAGGGAGTCCAAAACGGGCAGGACCCTTACCGGGGCTGTCAGAAAAGAACTACAAATCGGCACTCCCGCAACGAATCCGTAAAGCGATACGGTATGCGCCTCGAGGAGCCCAGGTGACGCCACCGGCCACTCGGAACTAGATCCTGACTCATTGTCTAGAGTCGATGACATCAACACAGCAGGCATCTGTCGGTCCGGAAATCCCAGGGGCCCGACAGCGAAGATTACATGCAGGACCTGAGGAGGGCTTACTCACTGTCAGGTTTGGACACATGCAGACACATTGAAAACATCGGACACATTAGACCTGGCTACACTGCACACCTTGCTTCACCATATCTGGTGCTCGCTTCGATACCTTCAAATATGAAACGTTCCGTTTAAGTCTACTTGCATACAGCTTGAGATGATTTCGTTCGTTCCTCTGAAAAAACCGGGGTTAAAGCCTTAGTAAAGATGACTTGGTTCGTCGAAATGAAATCAAACCCGTCATTGCGATGTCGTTATCGCAGTGATACAAAGGCTTTGAATGAAACAAATACATGACGAAGGTATGAAACTATATCGCGTCGCACGGATGGGCATTTTGCAAGATGAGTTGCGGGAAAAGGATCAACCACTCACACGTGTCGGAAAATGCCCCAAGCCTGGCATAACATCTGGGGCCCTCCTTGACGTGACCTGCTTGACGCGTACGCCTGAAAAATCTGGGACCTTGTCAGCAGAGTTGGAAATGATGTTGCCGCCTCCCTCAGTCATGTTGGAAATTTCACCCATCTAACACCAAGTGGTAGACACGAGGGCGAGCCAACTCTCTCACGTCACCTGTTGCGTTGAGTTCTCGTGCGAAAGAACACTAGTGGAATGCAGGCTGGAGGGACAGGACCGTGGCGCGATGGAGTTCATCAACACCTTGCTCTGTCAACTAACTCACTTTGAGCCAACGAACTGCTCGTTTCACCACACTTCGCTTCCCGAACCGTCTGCCAGCGCGTGGACCCCATCACGACGGGTTAGGGCAATGATTTGAACACGATTGGGCCGGTGTTGTGGCAGATTAATGCATATGCTATGTGATAGGTCACATAAGCCTGGTCAATAACACTTGTATCTTGGTCGATAGCACTTGTACTTATCAAAGAAAAGCAATGCACCGACTGCCATATTTGACCTGCGGACCGACAAGCACAGTCATTATGAACTATCGGTGGCGAACAAGGCCCACTTGGGAGACGATGCGAACATGGCGAGTTATTAAAGGGCGTGTTACGCAGTGCTATGAGGTTTTGAACTGAAACAGCCACCTTGAAGATCATTCGGTACAATTCACAGCCATTCTCAAGACCTAACCCCCTTTAGTTCCGGAGCTATACGGTCGCAAAGATGGGGAGTCCTTTCCATAAGCCATGTGACGATCAAGGCCATTAAACATGTAATAGTCAAGTCGTTCATTTCCGGCGTTCGTGAGCAGAATTTCCAGACATAACGGCCGTCAGTTGGCTCATATCAATGCTGTTGTCACGGAGAAACCGAGAATATGTGTTGAAGAGTATGTCACTGGTTAAGTGAGCGTTCATTATCACATTTGACCTCCGCTTCAATATCTTCAACTGTGAAACATTTCTTTTAAGAATAGTTCGGTACGCTAACACATGGCAGACTCACCGCACGAGCTTTAAGGGTCGCACGACTCCCGCGTTTCACATCTGTTTCCTCGTGCCCCCTCCACCAGGTGCATCCTGAGCGGCGAATGCGACCCGCCCGCCTGCGCGTACGGCAAGTACGGGCGGCGCGCCAGCCGGTGCCCGCGGCGGCGCGAGAAGCCGCCTGCACGCTGGCTCAAGTTCACCGTCTGAGGCCAGCTCAAGGCCGACCTACACGGCCGCCGACGGCGTGTGTCTGTGTGTGTGAGCCTGTGACGTCATCGGGACACAGCGCGCCGGCCGTGGTCGCCATGGCGCTGAGGTTGCGGCGCCCGCCGCCAGCGCCGGGCGCCTCGGGTGGCCTCAGACCGCTGTCGCAGTTGCGCCAGCAGTGCGTGGAGGAGCTCATCAGCGGCTCATCACTTGCCGTGTTAAGCCAGTCCGGCCAGTGACTAGAGGGCTGGGAGCTGGCCCGGCCCGGGAGTGACTGTCTCCACGGTGGTGCGCCCAGCGCGCGGATCCCGAGCGGCACCTGCGCGGTCATCCACGCAGCTTCAATGCACAGGAGTTGGCGCCATGTGCCATGACCAGTGATTGTTATCCACTCACGGATTCGCTAGTGGATGGTTCGTTGGATGATATGCCTATCCACCATGTAGGTTATTGCCGCACTCTACTAAAGGCGTATGACTATGTCCCAGACTGCGCTTTGAAGGAAGTGGCTGTTTTCACTCGCCGTTAGGGTCATCATGAACATTCTCTTGCTTGCCGTACGCCCAGCGGATTTTGTGGATGCCAACATTTAATACATTTCGTATAAAAGTACCTACTGTGAGTTTTGGGTTACGATTTTTGATGGAAAACGGAATGTATCGCAACGCGTTCCGTCATAAGACACAGCTGAGCGTGTGTGGCACATCGTAAAGCCTTAACGATCTAAATTGTGTTCACATCATGTCGAGGTGCATACTGCTTCAACCCTAAAGCGAATGCAGTTGACCACCACTGAAACATTGATGGCACTGTTTCGACGTTTTGAAGATGTGGAGGTGTCTTCGAGATAGCGCAGCGTCCGCATGAGCTGACTCAGATGGCACTTCAAAAGAAGCAAGTAGTGCTGGGCATTGGGCGCTCCTGAAGCACTGCAACGCCGTTATGGTTCGAATAAGACACTGCGAAATGCTTTTGCGCCCGTTGAAATGCTGAGCGTCTCTCCAACCTTGCTCCTCTGATCGGAATGGGGTTTCCTAAAGCGTGGTGAAAATCTTCAGAGACACTCCGGCCTCATGAAAACAAATGGGCTTTCCAAAGAAACCAAGAGGATATCTGCCGACAAGTATTGGCACTGGGCTGGCCCGAAAATAATATTTTGCTCCGATAATCGTTTTTTTATTCCTTGATCATTTACTACGTCAGTTCAAAATGCCTAAACCCAGCCATTTCTGAAAACAAATCAATCGGTTCACAATGCTATAAGGTATGCGAATTGCCACACATGGGTTAGGTCATGTCATTAACAGTATTTACTTCGTAGTTTCTTTGGACTAAGTAGGCTTTGGTCGAGTCGTTTTTTCGATGAAATGCAGTTTTACATGACATTCCATTGTCATTTATATTTGCTTGTCTCATTGCGCTTGTGCTTGACCCTCTTGGAAAAAGTCGGTGGCATCGCCCCTGCTCTGAAGTGATCAGAAGGCCACGGACGGTAAAGAACGGATAAACGGTACGGGGCTCGGAAACGAAACAATATGGTGGTAACATCAGATAATACATAGATCTGTGGCAACAATGTTGCATATTCGAGAACCTAGCAGACTAGAAAACTCAAACCACAGATTCCAGTCAGCGATCATACTGCCGTGAGGTCAAACGAGGCCCGCCAGGTAACCCCCCAGGAATTCAGGAATCGCCAGATTACGACTGCGTAACACGCTGTATTTTGGGGGCTAAGAAGACTGAAAAATTAGTGCATATCTTTGCTACGGCACATCATTTTAAACATCTAAATCCGCGTTTACATTAACGACGCTCTTCAGCAGACTGGCACCATTGTACGCATCTTTAGCGCCACGAGATACAAGTCTTAGTTAAAGTTACCACCACAAGATGTCAGGAGTGCGGCCCGGCACGAGGCCAGCGGGCATCGATCGGCGGAGCGCGCGCATCGTCTGGGGAGGGCCAGCGGTGGCGTCTGGGCCGTTGGAGGGGAGGGGCGGGCGCGCGGCGCCGACGGCCGCCACTGGCATCGCGGCTGGCAGCCGGCGGGGGGCGGAGGTACGAGTGGTGGCCGCGTCAGCCCAGTGAATCGATGGGATGATGTGCTGTCCGGTCGCGGCCGAAGGGTGCCGCCGTTGCGCTCGTGCCGCGTGCTGCCGGCGCGGTCATGAGTGAGGCCGAGGCTGCTGATGCGGGTCGCGTGAACGGAGTTGGCCGCCACTTCTCGATGGGGGGAGAGGTGGCGCAGGACGAGCGGCCCGCGCAGAAGCCGCTCCGCAAGACCAAGTCCGTGTCGTTCCACAGTGCAACATGTTTGAGGAGCGAGCGCAAGGTGTCCAGCGGTGAGTACGGCGCCGGCGGTGCTGGCCCGCCGCAGAGGAGCCCAGCCGCCGGTGATTCCGCCGACGGGGGCTGGGGTTGTGACGCGCCCGGCGCAGCCCCCGGCGGGTGTCACTAGGTCAAGGTGATATCTGTCAGCGCGGGGAGCCCAGTGACCTCGCGCTGCGCCCTGCGGATTTGGGAACAGTGACATCCGCAGCAGATGCTTGTGGAGCGGCGCGAGCGTCAGCTGCAGCAGAGCGCGCCGGCAGACCTGTCTGTGTTGTCTCACTCCCTTAGTCCCGACCACCCACACCCTGCTGCCTTCCTTCCCGGCCGCCAGGAATACATGGATTCGGCGGAAACATGATGCACTGAGCGGGCCATCACGGGCCCGGTGCGCATGACGGCGCGCATGTTTGAACTGGGGTGAGCCCTGTTCAGGTGATGGAATGCACTGCAGCTACCTCTAGGATGAAATTATTGTTTTGGCCGTGATCAAGGCCGTTGCCCCTGACGTTTTCCTGTAATCAACCGCTTTCTGCGATTTTCATTTTGGATTTTGTTAACGTCTTCGCAAACCACTGTTAGTTTTATATATAAGATGCACGCACATTAACATGTATGTGCATATATATACATAGACACACACACACACACACACACACACATACACACACACACATATATATATATATATATATATATATATATATATATATATATATATATATATTATACAGTCCCGTACATGTTAGCGTCTGGTGTTTCCAACTGGGGTCTCCTCTTGGGCTCCTGTGTTTTCCATGGGGCCTCTCGTTCACCAATGGGGCCTGATGTTGGTCATCTAGCCTTTGCTACGCGGCCGATATTGTTTTCTGCGTGCCTTCAGGGCCATTCTTTCAATTTAATGAGATGTTCTGCTTCCGCCATCTGGATCTCCAGTCGACATGATGGGGCCTCCTAAAACCAGTCGACATGCTGGGGCCTCCTAAAATGTCATGAGGGAAGCGGACATGCTTTGCCCCCTTGGACAGTGGAGAGGGCGTCGCCCAGCCCCTCCCCCTGGCGCCACCACCCCTGCTGGTGATCAATTCGCCTCAGTGATGATGTAAGTGGTGACCTTACGCTAACCAGTGACCACGACAGCTCTGGTTCTGGCTTCGATCCCACGAGGGATAAAATATCGTGTCTGGTTTCTGGGCAATGCTTATGTTTTGTTTTGCATTTCGCCAAAGAAGTCGCTTCACGTGGATATGCACGATCACGGACGGACGTGGGCGGACGTGCGGCGTACATGGATGGCCATGGACGGACGTGCAGTGTACATGCACGGCCATGGACGGACTGCAGTGTACATGCACGGCTATGGACGGACGTGCAGTGTACATGCACGGCCCTGAGTGGACGTGCAGTGTACATGCACGGCTATGGACGGACGTGCAGTGTACATGCACGGCCCTGAGTGGACGTGCGGTGTACATGCACGGCTATGGACGGACGTGCAGTGTACATGCACGGCCCTGAGTGGACGTGCAGTGTACGACGGCTCCCGGTCCCCTCCCTGCCATCTCGAGGACTAGACATGCGGAGAGCAGCCGAGCGGAAGGTAGCACTACACAGCTCGGGTAAACGGCACGAAAGCGTGCGTGTGGCTTTTCATGAGTCGAACTAGAAGTGGTGCGGGAGAGAGCCGTGGCTGTGGTATTCTGCCCTCCTGTAAAATTTTTGCCATCGCAATGCAACCACAGTTGCACGTGTGGTCAGCTAAACGGTCGTAAAATTCATAGCATCACGAGATAAATGGGTAAACTTCCCAAAAGTCTTCAAAACTACTTTCAAATTCATGTGTCTTCAAAACACTGTTTGTTTAAATTTGGGGCAAGTATTTCGTTGAAGCCAAAAATGGCACACGCTGAAATCGCTCAAATAGAATAAAGACGGCAGCGACAAAACTACAACTCGGTTTTCGTATGAAATGCGCTGTGCGTACAATATATAAAACTGACGAGAAAACATGAGTTTTTCTGCGCGGGGCGTTGATCACTGTTTGTTTCATTACCAGCGTCACAGTTCTGTTCGATGTCCTTGAATCACTGTGTACAGACGTTTCTCGATGTTTTAAAAACCCCCGCACTCGTCTGGAGCTGCCAACAAGTACTGAGACCTTTGGCCCAATGGCCCCGCTAGATCCAAGGTTGGGGAGCATGACCCCAAAAGCCCCTCCCCTCGGATTCTCGGGTATGCCACTGACCGTAAACAGCCCGTAAACAGCCAGCCAACGCCAATGACGTGGACAGATGCTGTGTTCGTCAGCCACTGGAAAGGTAAAATGATGGGTAATTATTAGCTATGCCGTGAGATAGCATGACGTCACCGCAGCGCACATCGAATGGGCCGCGGTTGAAACGTTGACCACAGCTCCACGTCTGATGGGCAGTTTAACAAAGACCAGACTTCTGCAACGGCTGCGAGACAAATTTGAGCGGCCGAAAATGACACGGCTTCCAAGAAGTGGGTAATTTTCTTATTGTGGCCGGGTAGTGACAGCCTGACTAAAGCATTGCGAACCAGACCAGGAATGGAGTGAAAGTAGTAATTGAGATCCTTTATTATTTCTCCAGATTTATACCCTGCTGTGCTGAAGGAGCAGCTAAACTGCATGCATCATGGCAGACCCAATATTACAACGGTAGTAAGACTAAGAGTGATCTGTGACGTGCGTAATGTCATCATTCAGGTCAAATCCTACCCTCTTCAGACGGCAGCCAGACGTCTGCAGAGGGTGCATGCTGGGAACACCACACAAAACCCGTAGATATCACTCGTCACCGTGCATGGAATGCTTCCCAACTTGCCTTAAGATAAGTCAAACCGGGTCGTGCAAGACAATCAGTCATTCTTATAAAATATGTCGCGTGGCTTATGTCTCCTAGCGTGACCTTAGGCGACCTTGCCTGTATGCCTATATGTGCCACCTCAACATTAGCGGTATTTGATCACCTCAACGATCAGATACCGCTAATGAAACGGACTATTTTTTTGCAACTCAAACGATAGGACAAGTGTAGATTACCGCACGCCTGGAAGCGATACGCGGTCGCCACAGCCCCGGCGAGGTGCCGTCGCTCGTGGTCAACGAAAGTTAGTATTGTACAAGTTTCCCAATTAGTGTGAACATGCTTAAAACTGTGGCATTGAAAACGTCAGGATCATTGGCTTAGTGGTTCAAAGATTATTACGGCGAAACGACACGGAGGTCAGAGATTGGAGACGTCTAATGCGGTCGTAAAATCCATCCGAGGCTCGCCCCCTCATTGGATCGAAGTGAAACTCGGGAATTGCAAGTTCTGTGCTTAGATTGTATGCACTTAAAGATCAAAAGTGATCAGCCATGGTTCGAGAAGGCGATGTTTTATGTGCACGCTGCTATGGCTTCTTAATGTTTGCTGAGTGATGTTAGACCTTACGCCAATAACCAGTATTGGTAAATATGCATGGATTCGCTCCCATTTCACTAGGTCGAACTCTTCAGTTCAAAATCACATACGTTGTTAAGTGTATTCGCGTGGAACATTTTTCACATGGATACTGACGGTACTCATATCCTCATTCCTCGGGAAAAAGGGAGAAAGGAGGTGTAAATGCGTTGATATTTTGGCAACATTCCTTTGTCGATTTGTTTAAATGGCGGTGAATCTATGCACATTTGTCAAAACTGGTTATTGGCGTTAAGTCTACATCACATAAAGGAGCGATAGCAGCGTGCGAATAAAACATCGCCTGCTTCAACCACGAAATCTCAAAAATTTAAGAACGCTGGTTTTGTAGCTGGGATGTTCAACATAGGCATTCATTCAGATGGGAGCAAATAGGCATCATTGAACATGGCGTTTGTGGCTTGGCTGTTGTTGAGTGCCCAGCAAGTTAACTTGCAAATGCTTCTGTGAGCTAAAATATTAAAGCCTAATGCACTGTCAGCCAATTTGTGTATTGTGAGCTAACCGGATTAACGTGTAGTTGTGGCAAATAAGTTGGCGCTTGAAAATAAACGAAATAAACACACAGCCTTCGGGTTACAGTCCACCCAATCTCGCAACGTTGCCAATAAAAACTGCCCGAAGACCCACGAGCTTCTTAAGCCGGCTCCTTGCGGGGCTGCTGGTAAGAGGCAGCCAGTTGAAGCAGATTCAGGTGGGGCATTTCTAGTGCGTCAGACAAAATATGGCTCTTGATACTGCACTGAACACGCTGCCAACAACATATGGTAACGTCGCGTGAAAATTGTTTTTTTGTTTAGTCCGCTAAAGCAAGCCGTCGCAAAAGGGACAACAGAGACATTTCAGAACATTTCAGAAACCTCAGGCAAACTGTCATTGCATCAACGCACCCAGCGGAAAAGTGGCACTATTGTACAAACATGAACCGGCCGCGGATTTGAGCTGCTGGCCTGCCATTCCTGCCTCGTGGGGGCTCGACTGTTGTACAAACATGAACCGGCCGTGGATTTGACCTGCTGACCTGCCATTCCTGCCTCGCGGGGGCTTGCGGCAGGCAATCTTTCAAACTAAACTTTGCACGTCTTGCGCCTGAGATTGGCCTGTACGGTCACGTGTCTCTGGCGAAGATGGGCTGGAGCCGGGCTGGCCGCGTCGCCGGGCTGTTGGCCGAGATAAAGCCAAGGCCGGGCCGGGCCACCCGCCTGGCGGCAGTAGCCAAGGAACACGAGCACATGTGGCCATTATGGCAGCAGGCGCAACACGTCTGCAGCCGCCCAGATGCGCACAGCGGCGATATCCGGCAGCTGCAGGGTGCCGCAGAACCGCAGCACCGGCACAGGGACGCCCCACCGCGGAGCGGGTCTCCAGGAGTGGAGGTTCTGTCTGCAGACGGAGCTCCCCCGAGGCGGGTGTCAGGCCGCTCGGAACACGCCCTCGGGGGCCTCATGCCGCGCGCCGTGCGACGCGGAGCTAATGTGATGGCAGTGTAGTTGACCGCGGGAGATTGCTTGAAAACTGCGACTTATGGCGCGTTCCACATTCATTCCTCGGCCCGCCTGCGCCAGAGATCACGTGAGCGCATGGGCCCTGGGGCCGCAGGCGCTTGCTATCAACGTAGCGAACTGGGCACGTGTTGTGATTTGTGCCTGGCGTAGTCAGCGGCTACTGCACTGTTATGTCTCAGTTGGCTTTCGTCTCAGTTGACTGTGGAGAAAACACCCCCGCGAGGCTCAGCCGGCGGATGATTTTTTAAAACATAGCACTCGATATTCTTCTCGGCCATGTCACTAAACCAGACATGTGGAATGTACATGTCGATCGCCCGTGCTGTGGGTGCGAACCGGAACGGGGAGCGCGTGGACGGGGGTTACAACGACCACCGCGGCATGCACTTTGAATATGAGTAGTTGATGTGCACACCTGTGGTTGTAAACACGTATTAGAATATGACATTCGCTGGCTCAATCAGATGGCGCATTGGGCTGCAGTTTTGTTATGGAAAGAGGAACAGGTACCTGTGCGTAGCTTTTTAACCTGCCACAGTGCGTGTAATGTTTATTGATGTTGGACGCGCTAAAGCACAGATGAGTGATGAAGAACATCGTGCTATATGGAAGTTTATCAGATCGTCCAACTTTTCGCTGCAGTTTATTAAGCTATCACGACGCTGTCAAATATTATGTGGTTGCAGCTTGAACGTGTGAAAGATCTGTTTGACACTGGCTCATCATCGAACCAAATCGACGAGGCTCTCTGCATGGAATACTTTTCTACGAAACCGTGTATGAGCCACAGCAGGACGTACGGATCCGCAATGCGTCACATGCATGGAAGACCGCCGATGAACACAAATGTCACGCCGCATCGAACCCAGCTCGCAGATTAACTCACCGCTGGGCTGTTTTCATTTGTTTACATGCGAGCGATTTCTTCTCTTTTCCCTCAGCATCCGACGAAACGCGGTCAGCGTTCCACGTTGCATTTCCCGAGCGGGATAACTATCTCAGGTGGACACTCTTTTGTGGGAGTACATATCGACACCGCAGACGTCACCCTGGTGGGCCAGTCGAAGCTGCCCGCTCGAAAATCTTGTGTACGTGGATGCGCAAAACGGGTCGAGCTGCAAACACAGCCAGCAAAGATTATTCGTGACGTTACGTAGGAAAAAAACCTTTTTGGTACGCTGCGGATGCACTCGATAAGGTCATTCTACGTTGTAACCCTGAGGCTTTTCCACCCTCTCTGAACAGTAGCAATGAGCGGTGCGTAAGGGCTGGGACAAATAATTCGGCTTCTCTGGAACTCTACTCAGGCTGTATAGGCGCACCAAATTTCAATCAGTTTGTTTACTGTATTTTTCCCGTGGTGATGTATATTTTGGGAAGTCGCGCCTTGTAATGATGGGTATGGAAAGAGATAGGTGACATACCAGACTGATCTCCGCCTCACCTCCTTCCCAACGGATGTGCCCCCACCGATCCGTTGTACGCCGCACCCCTCCCCTGGCACCGCTCGAGCCACGTACGTGACCTTTTCCCCGGCTGATCAGTGGCGTCCATGTTGACAGTGCAAGAGTGCCTGCAGCGAATGGTGGCAGGCAGCACGCTGATCAAGATCAGACCCAACCTGCGCCAGTACCACCGCTTCTTCAGCGTCACTGAAGACCTGGCCGCGGTACGCTGGGTCCCCTCGAAGAAGTCCAACAAAGCCCAAGGTGAGGCCACAGTGACCCGGGAAGCCCCCCAAGCGGCGGCGGCAGCCTCGCGCGGCCGCTGATATCGGCGCGGCGCGTGACGTCAGAGCGGGCGTTAACGGGTGGCGGCGCTGCACGAGTGGACGGACGGACGGCTGGTGGCGGACGTGGGGCCTGCACCGCCTGAGCGCCACTGATCGGGCATTGACAGGCAGTTACAAACAACTGCACGAACGCCGGCTATGAACATGTAATGCCGCCGGAAACACAGATTTGAACAGCTGCAGAATTCTCAGATTAACTGGGTCATAACGAGCAGCAAATAGACTCCTAAGCACGATGTCATTGAATATGTATACACAGTGCGGCATAAACACGTACGCACCAGGATGCTGCTTGCGAAATGCATCATTTGCGACGTTCCCATCCGCTTTTGATCCCCGGTTCGTCCGCGATACTGGCATGAAGCGGCCCTGTAGCAACGCGTGCTGGTCTGGTCGGGCAGGAGTGTACACACTGCGCTCCTGATCACTGTTGACAGAGGGGGGCCGGTATTGATCGCCACCCTATCTCTCCGCCTGGCTGCTTGGCTTATCCGAGCCAGACAGACAGGTTCTCATTCCGCTGCCAATGGTCGCCCGCGGCTTCATTCTATCCTCGCCCCGAAGGCGGCAGGCACACGACCGCTCAGATTCTGCCGCGGCAAAACATGACCATAACTCCTGAAAGCCGCTGCGCTTTTTCATTTCGCAGCGAACAAAAGACGGTCGGCGCCGATCATCTGGGGCTGGACAGGCTCGGCGCTGTGAGAGATGGCCGTCACGTAACGTGGCGCCCGCCGTGCTGGCGGTCTTTACATGATGTAGCGCATGCTGTGCTAGCGAACGTCACGTGACGTGACGCATGATGTGCTGGCGGCCGTCACGTGACGTGATTCATGCCGTGCCGACGGCCGTCACGTGGCCTGATTCATGCCGTGCCGACGACCGTCACGTGGCCTGATTCCTGCCGTGCTGGCGGCCGTCACGTGACGTGACGCCTGATGTGCTAGTGGTCGTCACGTGGCCTGATTCCTGCCGTGCTGGCGGCCGTCACATGACGTGGCGCCTGATGTGCTAGTGGTCGTCACGTGGCCTGATTCCTGCCGTGCTGGCGGCCGTCACATGACGTGACGCCTGATGTGCTAGTGGTCGTCACGTGGCCTGATTCCTGCCGTGCTGGCAGCCGTCACGTGGTCTGATTCCTGCCGTGCCGGCGGCCATCACGTGACATGAGGCGGCCTGCCGTGCTGGCGTCTGCTCACCCGCGTGTACGCCCATTGCAGTGCCCATCGACTCCATTAAAGAGATTCGCACTGGCAAGAACACGCCGATATTTCGGAACAAGGAGTTCAGTGGGGCTTACTGTGAAGAATGTGCCTTCTCGATCATTTATGGTGAAGACTACGAGTCCCTCGATCTGGTGGCCACGTCTCCGGATGAGGCCAACATCTGGATCACCGGGCTGAACGCCCTCATAGGTAAGTGGAGCTGGGCATAGAGGCGCCTTTGTAACAGTTCTGTATGGTGTTCCGCGATCCTTGTGGCAGGCCAAATGTCTGATAATTGTGCGGATGCTTACGGCTTCTGGAAATGGAAACCCGACCTTTCTATTAGGCCTTCCTGAGTTTCTACCAGTTTTTTTGCGGAGCGTCGTGGTCTTCTACAATATTCTGTATTTTGTTATTCCCGACATAATTACACAAACTTGTGGGGTAGCATGACCATGTGAACTATGAATGAAGCATTGTTACATCATAAGCACATGTACATTTCGCGTTCGAAAAGCTACCGACTTTAAAATTAGAACCCTTGCCATTCGCATTGTAGCTGCTGCTGGTCGATCCTCAAATTTACTCCTTCACAAAGTGCCTGTGATGAGTCTGGAACAAGCTGCAAGTGACTGCACTTGTGGTGGCGATGTCAAACTTGAGTCACAGCAGGCGGCCGGGTGGTATGGTTTCTGGCCGCCAAATGCTGATCGTTGCGCCGGAAGGCTTTGGAGAAGATATGGTTGGCGGCGGAGCGTGGCGCGCTAGGAGCACTCGCCGACGTTGAGTGTGCTAGCTGCCGCCGCCACATGGTTCAGGACAGACGTTGCGTCGCTCTGTTACGCAATGGAACTTGCAGCTGCCCCTCGGCGCAAAAACTACGGGATCGTGTCAGGCAAATACATGTGGTGGGGACAGGCGCCGCAAGTCATGCATTGTCGGGGGCGGGGAGGGGGTCGTGTGCAATTACAACAGACTGGGGCATCACGGTAAAGGATATGCTTCGCAGTGCCTGTCGCGAATGGTTGGTCGCATGCCTCTCACGTGCAGGCTACACCACATCCGCCGTACCTCCATTACCATCATTCACTTGAGTCTCGTTTGTAGCTGAATGTGCGGATAACGAGGCATGTTACGACCGTGCACGTCCTGTCATGTTGACGGCGGATCTGGCCGTCCGGTGCCTGCTGCTGCGTCCCAAGGGTGTTTTATGCATGATAATGTAGCTAGCGATGCAAGATTAACCAGAGGAGCGGAGCCCAGGCTTGGAGGTAGGGGAAGTCTTGGTTTGCACGTAGCTGGTATGCTTTTGAGCTCGCAGGCTAGCGACGTGCGCTCTCATAACATACAGATACAATTACGGAAAGCTCCATTTTGTTGTTTTTGAAATGTATGTTAACGCAGCTTTCTCCGTTCCGCCTACGCTGAGACTTCCGCACTGGTCCGAACATCATCCATGCTCAGAACGCCCATCATGTCATGCACGTTGGAAAACCGCAGTAAATTCCACACAATTGCCACGCCGTTGGGTTCCATACCACACTTTCGCGTGAACCGGCGGCCACCGCGCCACAGCTGACCCCACCAGCAGCGTCTGTGAGTCCATCACACGGCGCGACAGTGCCGCGCTGCCGCCGACCTCGCCGCAGCCAGGGCCGTTTGTGTCGAGGTCCTGGCACGGCGACCGCTGCCAGGCCGGGGCAGCGCGTCGGCGGCCGGCGCCGGCGTGCCGCTGATGACAGCTTCCCGGACGCGCCGGCGGCGGCACTGCACCCATTACCGGCCGGTTGTCTCTCTTGTGGCTGACGGGACGCGGCCCGTCGGCGGCCGGAGGGCGCGATCCGAGGCTGCCGACGCGCCGGGGTGAGGCGAGGCTGCCGAGGCGCCGGAGTGGGGCGATGCGGCCGAGGCGCCAAAGTGGGGCGAGGCTGCCGAGGCGCCGGAGTGGGGCGAGATGGCCGACGCCCGGGGTGTGTGTGGGGGGGGGGGGGGGGGCAGGGGATTCATCGGCCTGCCGTGTCAACGACCGTCGAGCGCCGCCAAACATCGACACAAGTCATGGCGTCAATGAAATCAATTGATGCCGGTAGATAATCCCAACTGGTTTGGATTGGTTGCTCATAACCCCGTACACAGTCAGTACGCATAATTTGTCATGTTTGCGGAGGCAGTTCTTTGTGTTTTTGGAGGTCTTGGAATCGTTCCAAATTGTACGGCTGAAAAACATCAAGACCGAAGCATTTAACATGGATACATAAACCGATGCGTGCCCTTAATGTTATGGACATGTTGACTGTTGCAGCCCGTAGGAGAACCGATTGATCTGTTACTGTTCAGCCGACTTGTACTTACGACGCGGCCGTACGTGTGTATGTCTACGTTCCTGTGCTTGACTTTTTCTTTCATGCATGTCAAGCATTCCAAAGAAATTCCCCTCCCAAAAACACACTGGTGTTCTCTGGCTGCGCCTACCTAGATGTTCTCTGGCTGCGCGCACTGGCGGTTCTCAAAGTAGTTAATTGATGCGCTGATAGGGTAGAGGCGGGGGAGGCACCGTCTCCTTTCAGCAGCCAAATAATGATAGATGGACACCATCATTGGCATGACTCACCCGGAATAATGCATAGCTGTTCCATTCTCCCCTCCGAGCCTCGGTGGTCGGTGAACGGCGATAATGACCATCCACAGCGGCTTGCGCTGCGTTCCCTTAAAGACAAAATACACAGCACGAGGGTATGCTGTGAGGCGTTTGGCTTTCCAACTAGTATTTGGCTTCAGATGAGCCTACATGCACTTTATCAAGGTTCTCAGCAGCCGGGGCAGCCTGACACGCCATTAAACAAAGTCAGAATGAGATGGCGTGTGATTGTTTTCCCAGTACTGGAAAGTCTGCTCCGTTTTCTTTACATTGTTTCACTGTTCAGAGCGTCAACATTAATACGAGACCTAGTCCGACAGTGGATGTCATGGCTTCGCTAGTATTCAGTCTTTGTTTCCCTGCTTTTCTTTGACATATGTTTTGGGTTTTCGGCTGTCATACCTCGACTCTTTTGAATGCATCAAATGATTTGCGGTCTTTCCGAAATGTGTCAGAAAGTGAAATTAACTCAACACTCTCACGCCCTTCATAACAAGCCTGGTCTGTGGGCTTTTACGCAGAGTTATGAGCTTCAGATTTAGAGGGCTGTAAATGATCAGATCATCAATGAAGGCGTCGGCGTGGCAAACATTTATGATGAGTGCGTTTGATGAAATACTTCGTCACAGACACAGACACGTATGGCTATTCGTGGGACCCGCGATTGACTTGCGGTTTTGACGACCTCTCGTGAAAAAATATACCCCGAGAAACATATGTGCAAGTCAAACGCGCCACTGCAGCTCGAAGGGCACAGTGATGGCAGCCAACCATACAACGCCATATGCAATGTATGCAATATATGTCATACGATCGAGCAGGATTGGGAAGAGCGTGTACGTCGGTCTGACGCGGGCGGTACGTTTAACAAACCAATGAGGCATGTGCTTTTAATTCCTCGTCTTACGTTCGCGTAAATCGGAAAGTGGCGGGGAGGTGCGTCCAGTCTGCCCCGCGTTTAAGTGGAATAGCGATGTCATGTTTTGTGGTGTTCTCTGACGGGCTCAAGTTTAGGGTTTGTACGTACAGTTGCGTGTACCTTTGAGTGCCACACTTCTGGAGTTAGAGCACCTGGCCCTGCAGACTCGCCGACCTGCAATGGTCATGTTTGTGGTGGGTAGGTTTTGGATGCAATACTTTTAAGGCCAGGTTTAGAGCGTGTCAACGACAAGTGAGAAATACGAATGTTTCACATCCAGAGGAAAATCGGTGCGGGGTTCTGAGGTCGACAGAAGGGAATCGCTTGTCTGTGATGGTCCACCTGTCCGATGGAACCGTTTTTCCACTGTAGCTCTCAACGTTTACGGTATCCTACTCTTGTATGTTCTTGGTAAAACACTCTCTGGAAGCCGCTATGTTATGGCCATGCATCGCTTCCATCATAGACGGTATCGCTCTGTTAGCATGGTATCACGTCCGGAGAAATTCATCGTTGTTTAAACCGTCATCGGCCTTGGCTGGAACTCGGGACAAAGCCTAGTTCATGGAACATATTCAGAACATGGCAAAAGTGGTCGGAAAGCAGAAAATGTTTTTCGTTCCTTGCTTCAGTTTGCGTTCAGTTCACTGTGTTCACCAGACTCAAGTTCTGTCAATGTTAAGGCAAGCTTAACTATGCATATATATATATATATATATATATATATATATATATATATATATATATGTATATATATATATGCTTATATATATAAATATGCGTGTGCGCACACACATACATATATATATATATATATATATATATATATATATACATATACGGGTAAATGTACGTGTATATGCGTGTGTGGGCATGTGTGGGCGAGTAAATGTTGCTGTGATAGCTGTGTTATGCACGTAGTGCTACCTTGTAACGTCAACAAAATCGACGCAGCCCGTGCAGTTTCACGGGCACAACACTGTTGAGGTTCGAAGGGGTAAAGGGTGCCGATGATAATGTCTCTCTCAGCGACCGTGGTCCAAGGGGAACAACGACGGGTGCGGAACACCTTTGTCAAGGGTGTCCGGTAGCGTTACGTGGAACCCAGAAAACAACATACATTCTTTTATGGAAGCCTAAGGCGTGCCACAGAGCGGTGGGTTTTCCAGGCAACTCATGAAACAGAAACAGCCAAGGGTAGCCAAACATTTGTTGTTTTTCATGATTTCACGGAAGCCCCTCATAGATCAGATGTCCTTTAAATATCAGTGGGCCTCGAAACAGGTCCCCGGAAGTCCAAGATGAAGACAGCCAGTCGACATAAAAACAGACAGTCTCAATATGATCCTTAAACGTTCCAAACGACTTCAGATGGCTTCGAGCGGGCCCGCGCCTCTGTGTCACGATATTCCTTGAAGGAGGTTAGTTTCCGTGAAGACTGAGGGAATACGGTCGGGACCTGGGTTCTCACGCGCCCCATGAGGTGGCCAGGGTGCCCGAGATCTTCAAGGGACACTTGCGACAGTGAAACAGTCCGAAGGTAGTGTAATGACCCAGAGATGAAGAAGGCTGTTTGGGGGGGGGGGGGGGCTGTTTAGAAGGATGGAGAAAGGGACTTCAACGGCCGAAAGCCCTGCAGTTTTCAGGGATGCCTGAGGTATTCACAGAGCTTGTGAAGTGCCCGAGGAGCCTGCGATACGGTCACACTGGCTCACACCGAAGTGAATTGGCAGCACTGTGGCTATGGTCTCATGGAGCACCTTTCTTATTGGCTTACTTAGCGGTCACTTGTTAATGACATGATTTTCGGAGAGTGGCGGATCGAATTGCATGCGGTCAGTATCGATGACTGACCCCAGAAGATCTTGTCATTATTTTGTACTGGTTTATCACTTATCGTCTGGGGGAGCTGAGATCTCATAGCGGACGGGGTCAAAGTTCTCTGGCACGGAGCACCTTGAATCTTCCACCTTCCATGCCACGCAGCGCGTTCGCAGTGGCGCAGCTAGTGACGTGCCGCACCCATAAGAGAAATATTGCGTTTGAGCACGGGCCAACCCAAAGCTTTTCTGTCAGTTTCTTACAGAACATTGTTTATTTTGGGCTGGAAATTATTTATGCTATCTGCACAATGCGTATTCATTTCCTTGACAGCTTTCCCAAAAAATTCTGCGCGAAGACCTTCTTAATTCGAAGTACGTTTGCTTTAGGAACATGTGCGCCGCAACGTTTCCAGTTATAGGCCGCCGAATGTCAGTGGAAATTTACATTTTAATTCCTTTCGTCTAATCTAGACAATGTCTAGCACCAGGCCGAAATCCTTACAGATAACTTTCCTCCGTCTTCTTTTACCGTACGTCACGTGACAGTTGCCTGCAGACCAGTTCTGTGGAACCCAAGACGGCGAATGCCTGCTGAGATGGCGAGGGAAGCTCTTGACACTTGATACTCCAGCATGAGTAACGTGACTCCTAGACGAAACAATCCCGCTTTGACTGCTATTTGCATCGCTCTGAGTTATAGGTCCCGTGCTCGGGAAGTGCAAGAGCGATAGTTAAGTTGGTCCGGATATAACGGATAGCATGGCTCACGTGCGGGTAGCATGGCTTCAGAACGGTATATGCCGAATGGCCATTTTGCGGCGCGTAGCCTCACTTGATTTGCTGCAGCAACCCAGGTTTGTGGGAAGTTAACGAGCAATATAAAACAGTATCTGTTTGTAAACAGTGTGAGTAATGGACGCGGTCAAAAACAAGTCATGCTAAACGGCGAAAAGTGAAAGCAAAAGCTAATGCCATGAAAGTTAAACTTTCCGTCGTTTTTCGTGATTGTCACAGTCAGTAGCACACTCACAATGTTTGTAGAAGGTGTCGTTAAGCATAAACAAAGTGATCTCAATGTGGCAATTACGTCACTCAGCGTTCAGTTTAAGGGTTGACCCATTTTAATATTTTAATTGTCACCGTTTTCGTGACTTCACGAGCGCGCTGTTAATTATCGAAAAGGTATGGAAAACACGTCTAGGTAATATGCGCCTACAAAGAAATAACGATGACACAAAAAGGCGAGCAGCACGTCTTGTATCACTTCATGTAACAAAATAAGGACATTGCAGTATATGTCATCTCAAATAAATGTTATAATAATCAGTTTATCTGATAGACTGTGGACGAGTGCTTCGACAAAGCAACGAGAGACTGGCCAGGCTTAGAGCACCTTTTGACTCCTTGCTAAAATGCTAACCGATGGCCCGGAACATTCAGCATCAGCCATTTCTGGCACGAGATCGTGATCAAGCTCGAGGTTGCGACACCCTTCGCTATTGATCGCGTTCTCGTGAACTGATAATTGCTATCGCATGTCTCTGGCTTCAAATGTGACCAAAAATGGGGACGGGGCATCTGCTGGCGGTTGCTATTCTGGGGAACGATCGACACATGCCGAGTCGGCGCCAGAAATAAGTAAGCTTACGACACGTGCCACCGTGCTGAACGCACCACCATGTACGTGGCATTACTGAATGTGCGCTGTTGCCAATGTGTGTGGCGAGCAACCCACCGAGAAGCGGCTGGCATAAGAGCGTATGTAGGGCGATAAAGAGGTGTATTAGCAGGCAGTATAGGGCGATGCGATTTATTGCAGTCGCGAAAACGGTATTTCTACGAACGGGATCGCTTGCGATATGGGACTGGTTTCACCGCTATATGCGGGACTGAATGGTGACATAAGGTGATGCCTGGTTAGTACAGGACCGCTTGCTGAACGTTTGCCAGCGTTATAAACCATTGTCGAGGTGTATTCGCTCTCATTAGCGTCATCTCTATGGATGCTTGCCCCACCAATGCGAGCAGGTGACGCAGCGAGCCAGGTCGCGTGCCTGCGCAACACGCTTAGGTAACTAACCCACACAAAATAAATTTCGCAAGTTTTTTGTTTGTCTGTTTGTTTGCTTGTTTTGAGCTGCTGAAATCATCCATCAAACTTGCATCGGCATAGCTTTCACAGTGGTAACAGCAGGCGGATCACGTCCCCACCAAACTTTTCGTGAAAGTCGAGGTTAACCTTTTGACGGCGCATGGATATATTCCCAAACCGGGCGTTTCTGAGCCGTTTAGTTTCCATGTGCAGCGCCTTAAAACTCCGTCAGTCGTCGGTCTGGGTGCCTGCGGACTGCGGTTTATGTCAACAGCGTACCTGCAAAACTCCGTGTGTGGAGTTTCACAGGTCCGCTGTCCTTCTATCCGTCTATGGATGCACATTTGTACTACCTCGTCTGATGGTTCGTCCATATGACCGGTCCGGCTGTTTGAATTGCCGTTGCATTATCATGTACTTCCGTGTGTGCTGACCGTCCCTCCCGCGTGTGCTGACCGGCCCTTCCTTGTGTGCTGACCGGCTCTTCCGTTTGCGCTGACCGACCTTTCCATGTGTGCTGACCGACCTTTCCATGTGTGCTGACCGTCCCTTCCGTGTGTGCTGACCGTCCCTCCCGCGTGTGCTGACCGGCCCTTCTGTGTGTGCTGACCGGCCCTTCCGTTTGTGCTGACCGTCCCTTCCGTTTGTGCTGACCGTCCCTTCCGTGAGTGCTGGCTGTCCCTTCCGTGAGTGCTGACCGTCCCTTCCGTGTGTGCTGACCGTCCCTTCCGTGTGTGCTGACCGTCCCTTCCGTGAGTGCTGACCGTCCCTTCTGTGTGTGCTGACCGGCCCTTCCGTTTGTGCTGACCGTCCCTTCCGTGAGTGCTGGCTGTCCCTTCCGTGAGTGCTGACCGTCCCTTCCGTGTGTGCTGACCGTCTCTTCCGTGAGTGCTGACTGTCCCTTCCGTGAGTGCTGACCGGCCCTTCCGTGCCACCAGCACCGGACGGCATGGACGGCAAGGCGGCGGTGCGCGAGCGGTGGCTGGGCGAGATGTTCGCACGCGCCGCCGGCGACACGCTGGGCCTGCTGGACGAGCGGGCCGCCATCGAGCTGATGCGTCGACTGAACTCACAGATCACTACCGGCAGGATCAAACAGAAGCTGGCGGTGAGTGGCGTCGCTGGCGGCGGGCCAGACAGCGGCGGACGGGGTGCGGGGTCGAGCGGTGCGGCGAACGGTGGGTGGCCCTGTCGGAGAAGGGTCGGGCGGGAGCGGACCGTGAAGGGTTTGGCTGGCCGAGGGTCAGACAGATACGGATTGGCGCTGGTCTGGTCGGTGAGTGGTCAAATCTAAACTGATGGTAAGTGGTCAGACTGGGGGATAGAAGGCAAACAGAAGCTGGTTACGCCCGAATTAACGTCCTTCCCAGCGCTGCACGCTGTTTCCTTTTACTTCTGATTGTGACATCGCCGGTCCGATGGCTGGCATCGCCGGTGGCTGCCATCCGATGGTGCCATCGCCGGTGGCTGCCGGGCGATGGGTGCCATCGCCGGTGGCTGCCGGGCGATGGTAGCCGGTCGCCGGTGGCTGCCGGGCGATGGGTGCCATCGCCGTTGGCTGCCATCCGATGGTGCCATCGCCGGTGGCTGCCGGGCGATGGGTGCCATCGCCGGTGGCTGCCATCCGATGGTGCCATCGCCGGTGACTGCCGGGCGATCGGTGTCATCGCCGGTGACTGCCGTCCGATGGGTGCCATCGCCGGTGGCTGCCGTCCGATGGGTGCCATCGCTGGTGACTGCCGGGTGATGGCGTCAACTTGGGCAGAACCACCAGTGAACCGCGGCCCGACCAGCACGGGAGTCTGCGGTAGATACGCCCTTGCATGTTATGATACGTGATGTTGTTGAGTAAGCGTCGAATCACATATCCCAACTCCGCTGGAGGCTGCCAAATAGCGACGTATGAGCGCCACAATAACTGAGACGACTAAACCCGTTTTCGAGTAGGTTCTATCCACGCATTACTGCATGATCGTATCACACTTCCCCAGAGCTGGAGAGCGCCCCCCCCCCCCCCCGTCCTCCACCGTTGCTACGCCCACGCTGCCAGGCCCTATACAGCCCGACGTGTCAACATCCTGACCAGAACAACGGTCCGGCCACATCCCGAACCGCACTGCGTGACCACGCCGCTGGCCAGCGCGGCAGGCCCAGCTGTGTGCGATCTATGGGTCGCCCCGAACGGCTCTAAATGCGGCTATAGATCGGACAACCCCGGGTGCGGCCCACATCGATGTCGCCATGGTTTCATGGTCGGCGAATAATGCGGCGGCAGTGAAGGGTTTGGTCGGCGGAGGAAAGCGGTTTGACTCATGCCGCGCGGCGTAAGACATCGACACATTCTGGCGCACGTGCGTTCAAGGTTTGCCGTCGCAGGGGCATTCGCCACCTCTCATTTGCAACGGACATCGAACCCCTTCCCTTCCCCCCTCCCCCCCCACCGTCCTCTTCGTTGGTCGTCTCCTGAACTAATAGTCTAATGAATGCCGTGCCGACAAAAGACACGCCCAAATGTTAGCACCCCAGGCATATGTCAGATTGTCGGCCTTCAGTTCTCTGGTGGCGGTCCAGGTCTGATCGTCTGAAACGTTGCTTCACAACTTCATTCAAATTGCATATTTAGTGAAATGAAATGTGCCGATGCTTTAAGTGCAAGTAGAACGTCAGGACGCCTCCTATATGTTAGATGCATATTTTTGGACTGGTAGGACCACGGGCCTCGTTAGGTTGTGTCATATCGAACTATTCCGACGTTTTTTTCTTCTTTGAAGTGTCTGCATGCGCCTTTGTGACGCACAGCCATATGGGGGAGCGCAGCAAACCGTTGCCCGAGGTAGGACTGACTGAGAGACTGGCAGTGGCTGTCGTGCCTCCTTCCCTGCCTGTGCTCTGCTGTTGTACACTCGGGCTAGTCTCTGCTTGCCGCCAGCCACTAGCGCTGCTGCGGCCGTCGTCCGGACCGGTCGGCTGGCAGCTGGCACCAGCTCGGTGACAGGTCCCTACCGGCGTGGGGCGCCCACACCGGTAGGGACCTGTTGCGACCAGCACGGCCAGTGGGCTCCACTGATACACCGGCGCTGTGGTGGAAAGGCAACCGAACCTCTGCCACCGCCGCTGGAGATGGCGGCAGAACCTCTGCCACCGCTGCTGGTGAAGGTGGCCGAACCTCTACCACCGCTGCTGGTGAAGGTGGCCGAACCTCTGTCACCGTTGCTAGAGATGACGGCCGACCTGTCACTGGCGGCAGACAGTAGACAGTAGACATTATGGGCGCATCGGCTGAGCCAGCGAACGAGGGATATGTTCATAGTGTAAGCGGATGTCCCGTCGGCTGCTGCTGGTGGGCTGCGGGGCCACGTCGGCTGCTGCTGGTGGGCTGCGGGGCCGCGTCGGCTGCTGCTGGTGGGCTGCGGAGGCCGCGTCGGCTGCTATTGGTGGATTGTGAAGCCTTGTCCGCTTTTGCCGGTGACAGGGGCCTGCAAACGGACCGTGTCAACTGCTGTTGGTGACCGGAGCTGGAAAATACTCCCTGCCCACTGCTATTGATGACCAGAGCCGGATGGTATCCCCTGCCGGCTTCTGTTGATGACTGGAGCCGGATGGTGTCCCTTGCCGGCTGCTGTTGACGACTGGAGCCGTATGGTATCCCCTGCCGGCTGCTGTTGATGACTGGAGCCGTATGGTGTCCATTGCCGGCTGCTGTTGACGACTGGAGCCGGATGGTATCCCCTGCCGGCTGTTTGTTGACGACTGGAGCCGGATGGTATTCCCTACCGGCTGCTGTTGACGACTGGAGCCGAAATGGTAATCCCCTACCAGCTGCTATTGATGACCGGAGCGGATGGTATTCCCTGACGGCTGCTGTTGATGACTGGAGCCGGATGGTGTCCCTTGCCGGCTTCTGTTGATGACTGGAGCCGGATGGTATCCCCTGCCGGCCTGCTTGTTGATGACTGGAGCCGGATGGTATCCCTTGCCGGCTGCTGTTGATGACTGCAGCCGGATGTATCCCCTGCCGACTGCTGTTGATGACTGGAGCCGGATGGTATCCCCTGCCGGCTGCTGTTGATGACTGGAGCCGGATGGTGTCCCTTGCCGGCTTGTTGATGACTGGAGCCGGATGGTATCCCCTGCCGGCTGCTATTGATGACTGGAGCCGGATGGTATCTCTTGCCGGCTGCTGTTGATGACTGGAGCCGGATGGTATCCCCTGCCGACTGCTGTTGATGACTGGAGCCGGATGGTATCCCCTGCCGACTGCTGTTGATGACTTGAGCCGGATGGTATCTCCCGTCGGCTGCTGTTGATGACAGGAGCCGCATGGTATCCCCTGCGGCTGCTGTTGATGACTGGAGACGGATGGTATCCCCTGCCGGCTGCTGTTTATGACTGGAGCCGGATGGTATCCCCTGCCGGCTGCTGGTGATGACTGGAGCCGGATGGTATCCCTTGTTGGCCTCTGTTAATGGCTGGAGGCGGATGGTATCCCCTGCTGGCTTCTGTTGATGACTGGAGCCGGATGGTATCCCCTACCGACTGCTGTTGACGGCTGGAGCCGGATGGTATCTCCTGCTGGCTGCTCCGGACGGCATCCCCTGCCGACCACTGTTGATGACTGGAGCCGGATGGTATCCCCCGCCGGCTGCTGTCGAGCATTGTCAGCCTAGCTGGCAGCTTGCGTTAGCTCTGCCCTCCCAACAGATGACGCCGACGACCATCGATCGAGCCGGCCCCATCTATCACGGCTAAGCGATAGGAAGCTGGTGTATCTCCAAGGGCTCTTTGGCATGACGTTGTCCATTTATTCCGCCAATCGTTACGCGTCCCTTCGGAACAGTTGACCGGTAGTTGCAGTGTCGTAGAGCTTCGCCGGTTAGATGTCTTATGGGAGTGGGGAAAGGCTGAGCTGAGCTGAGCGCTCGGCGGCCGCTGTATGTCTGTCGTTTTCCTCACCCTTTCTTTCATTTTCGGTTCAACGACGGTACCTTTTTGGCAGCTCGTTTATCAGTAATAAAATATTTGCATATCCATGTTGGCATTGCGTGGTTCGGAAAGGAGTAACTTCTTACATTCCCAGGAGTGTTTCTCACTGTTCCCTATTATCACGGGTGTGAGCACAGCCACCTCGTTTGTGATCGACCGGCCTCCCCTCGATGGGTGTTTCCCGGTACCAGGGTCGAGTCGGAGCGGTCGAGAGACGCCCTGTGTTGAAAGTGCACGGCCGGTCGATCCACGCGGCGGCACGGGCGCACGGCTTCAGCCTCCGGTCAGTCGAGGTGTCGTCGAGGCACGTCGGCAAGGGCTCGTGGCTTGCGAACTCTCTGGGGGCGGCCGCCGGACGCCGGCACCAGCTGTCGACAGCGTCGAACGCCTCCGCTGCTCCGTGGGAACGGTGGCGCCGGTTATTGTGACACCGGTCGGGACGGCAGCGGCGGCACCCATATCCGGAACGGCTATCGACGATCGTATTATGGTCTGCGGAGCCCATCGTGTCTATTTGTGGTGCGCATTGATTCCCGCCCGACGCTTGGAGGCCGGCTCACAAGTGGGTCAGCTGGGAAGGTAGTTTCCCGGCGGCACGGGAACAGCTGAGCCGGTCGTGTTCCCCGTCAGCGCTCCGAGCGCTCAGCTGCAGCCTCCTGCGCCAAGTTGGCCCCCGGCCCATCTCCGGGGCGAAGTGTGCACAGGCTCGTACGCGCGCCGTCCTCTCGCTCGCGCTGGCCGGGCCGCAGTGCGCTCCTATCTCGATCGCGATCTTCGGCCGCGTTGCTGGGCCAAGCCTTACCGCGAGCCGCCGCCGGCGGTCTCGAACCCCCCATCACTCCTAACACATTGCCACGCGGCTGGAGCGAGGGGGAGTGGGGCGCTCTGTCGCGATGGATGGCCTCGTCCGCCGGCGGCTAATAGCAACGTCGTTAGCCGCCCTGCGACCCACCGGGTCGGGCGGTCCGTCCGACTCTGTGCCGTCCGGGGCTTTTTTACGTGGCGGCCGAGCAGGGCCGCCCTGGGACCCATCGGGCGGACGGTCCGGTCCGACCCGGTCCGGTCCGGGGATATGTACGCGCCAGCCGGACAGGGCCGGCTGCACGCCGACCCGTCCCATGCTGCCCTCGTCGAACCCTGACATGGGAGGTGAGAGTGGTAAAATTACGGTGGATGGTATACGATGCTGAAATGAGATGGCGCGGATATGGCCACCTGACATTCGTGACTAACTTATGGTCGGCGTTGACGTGCTGCGAAAGTTCGCTGAGGCTTAAGTTTGTAATTATGATATACGGCGCTCATGTTTCACCGCTGGGGTAACGGCTTCAAGACACCCATTGGGCTGTGAGGACGATCATGCAGTTTGGTCTCGTGTCCTCGCGCGTGAATGTAGCGCACTTTGGCTGAGGCAGGGCTAGTTTCGCTCAGGCGCTCAGCTCCAGCTCGTCCTGGAACATGCCACTGCTCCAGCCGTTGGACGCGCGTGGGTGTGATAGAGCCCCTGAACCGCCGCCGGCCTGGCGCCGGGACAGTCACTCGGCGCGCCGGTTCCTGGGATCCCGGACGTTGTTTGGAGCGTTCGCGCCGTTCCAGGAGATCGTTCATCTCGTCGCGGGCGGTCCGCGGGCCAATGAGGCAGCCCCGGCTACGGACGTTGATTGCGTCACTTCCACTGACGTCACTCACTTCCACTGACGGCCTTTCGGAACAACCATCAAACGCTCCATCACGCAGACCGGGCTTGCTGGGGGGCCGCAGGACCCGACCCCGCCCTCAGGTCCAGTCGATGGCGGATGGGGAGGGGAGATGTGTCGGCTGTCGCATTGACCACGAGACGCCAGCCGCCATATGCCAATCTGTGCCGCTGCTGATCTCTTCTGGTCTGCTTATTTGTCTGCCATCTCCAGTGGATGGATCGCCGCAGGTAGCTGTTTGGCTTTCTCGCAGGCCGTGATGGCTGACTGCCACAAGTGCAAGAACTTCACAGAAGTGAATTGGGGAAACATCCACAAAAGTGGGGACCATGTCCCCCGCCCTTTCACGCCCAGGAATGACTGTTCCCAGTTCGCCAGTGGCTAGGAAACACTACTCGACTGGCGGCTTCTGTCTGTTCCCAGACATCGGGAGAGATGAGATACCATAATAGCCGGTGATGCTGTAGTCTGCTGTAGTAGACGTGTCCAGTATTTATGGGTCAAAGATTGGCCGCCTCGATGAGCTGTTTGTCAACGCTTACTTCAAAGGACCCGACTGAGGAAACACTTGTCATTCCACGCAAACAACGCACTGTTGACGAATTACGTTTTTGCTTCCTTGTTACTGCACTGCTTGAGATGGGAGAGTCGTCCAAAACCAGCGTCGTTTCAGTGACAGCGAACTTTGTACGCTGCTGATCGACGACCCACATTGTTTGCTGCGATCGCATTATTCTGAACAGATCCGAAAACTACACTTACTACAGCTGTAAGCAACAATGATTGAAAATGTGCGTAACCATGGAGTAACTTATTTTGCTTTTGCGTTTTTGCACGTGGCTGCACCATTGGACCCTTGCATCATTAAGTGAACTGCGGACATTTGTATTCATTATCTCTTTTGATAATGTTCTTGGTGCTACGCGCATTTACAGGTTGCACACTCGCGGAGAAGGTAGTTTACGCCTATGGGCAATAACATGCAATGCAATGCTAACAATTTGCTAACATGTTCGAGAAACAGACGTTCGTGAGGCGCAAAGCGATTGCATCATTTTATGTCATCTATGCTTATGACCTGTGACACATTAGTCTAGATAGCGTCCTAAGCGCGTTATTTCATACGAGGGATTGACTGAGATGTGTCCTTGATGGCGTAGTCATTCAATTCCTTGTCACGTCAGGCCCCGTCTTGAAAAGCTCCCAGAAATATTTTTCCGCGCCTTTCAGTGCACTCTAGCATATTGTGCCTTCAGCGCACAAATGTAATAGCTGTTCGTAGAGATTGGAAGTGTTCAGCGCAAACTGAC